CCCGCTCTGGCCGCCTCTCGCCTCTGCTGCCCGTGCCGCTGCCGCTCTGGCCGCCACTGGCCGGGCGAGCGAGCAGCCTGCGGGGGCAGGACGCTGCGGCGGCGGCGGCTGCGGCTCCAGCGCCGCTCGGCGGCGGCCAACAGCGACACCCGGAGGCGCCGCCGCAGCACTGCAGCCGCCTTTGAGCTGAGCCGGGGGCTGCACCGGCTATGGGGTCGCACCCTGATTTCAATCAGCAAGCCCAGAAGTGCTTCACGCTCCTTATTCGATTCCAGCGGTGTTTGTAACTGAGATGCGCTGTCGTGTGCTTTTAGGTTCATCTCATTGAGTCTCAGTGAACAACCAGAAGCAAATATGCATGGCAGAGAAATAAGGAAAGCAAATCATCTGTTCTTAATGAAATCTAAGTGCAAGAAGTTATAGTATAACTAACTTGAAAGGCTCCTGAGCACTGTTCAGAGTTGTACTCTTTCATTATTCTATACGCATACCAAGGAGGTAATACTCATGTTGGAACACTCAAGAACAATCAACAACAGACTGAAGGAAAAGTCCATAAAATCCTGTCATGTGAGGCCTGCAAAATACTTCATTTTTCCATATATTTCTTTATTTCGCTTATGCAAATGCATATATGTTTTGCTTGTGCAAACATGAGATATTTACATTTTCTACCTTTTCTTTTAGTGAGGAGAACAATTACCTTTAGAAAGAGATCTCCTAAACCTTACTTTGTTTTGATTATCGGAAGTTTGCACTTTTCTTATTTATATGTAAGAGGGACTGGCATTTGGAAAGGCCTTTCCTAGAACCAGACAATATTTTAGGTGTGAAGGGACCTTAAATATCATGTAGTTCACAATGCACTAGGGGTCAGCTTTCTCATAGCCTCATCCATCCAGACCTTCAAACCTTTCAACTATGGCACATCAGCAGCTTCTCTGGACAACCTGTTCCCACGTCTCAACACTCTCACTGAAAAACTTTTCATCCTTATGACCAATTTAAACCTGCCTTCTTTCAGTTTCCAACCATTCAGTTGTCCTATCAAGATAGGCCCTATTAAAAGTCTCTCTCCACATTAGTTTTACTCTATTTATATATTAAAATAGATGGTGACTTCTCAGCACCTTTTCTACTCCAGGCTGAAGGGCCTCTCTCAGACAATCTACACAGCCAGATGTTGCATCCCTTTGAACATTTTCATGGTCCTTCTCTGGATTACTCTAACAGGTCTCACTGAAGCATGGTGAGACACAAAACCATCTTTCCTGCTGGCCACAGTCCTTGTTTTGCAGCCCAGAATATGACTGGCTTTCTAGACAGCAAGAGCACATTGCCAGCTCATGTCCCATTTGTTACCCACCAGTTCCCAAGTCCTTCCCACAAGGCAGCTCCCAATCCCCCAAGCCTGTTTGGGAATGGGATTGCTCTGACCCAGGTGCGTGATGTTGCACTTGACCTTGTTTAGCTTAATGAGCTTGACATGGGTCCACTCCTGCTACCTGTCCAGGTCCCTCTGGATCCCATCCCATCCCATCCCATCCCATCCCATCCCATCCCATCCCATCCCATCCCATCCCATCCCATCCCATCCCATCCCATCAGTGAATCAATGGCACCACTTAGCTTGGTGTCTTCTGCAAACTTGTAGTGGGTGCACTCAATCCAATTAGCTGCATCACTGATGAAGATAATCAATGTATTAGTCCAAGTAAGGCCCCCAAAGAACGTCACATTAGTATTTTCCAGATAGGTAATGAGCCACTGAATAAAACTCTTTCAGCACAGCCATCCATCCAGTTCCTCATCCATCTAGCAGTCCACCTGTCAAACCCAACTGAGCAGTCAACATGGTTTGGGGGACCATGTGGTGACATCACATACAGGTGACCGAGTATTTGCTGAAAAACAACTCTCACAGCTTCTAATGGGAAAGCGTTAAACTGTTTTCTGCAAGAAATGGGGAAAATGAATCATGACCTTCCAGGCAATACAGGCTTGAAAGGAAGTGTAATTACAACTGTGAGGAAACTGTGCATCATAATGCCCCAGGGAGATAGAGATGGATACAAGATGTTTCCCACAAGAATTCCAAGCCATTCTACCCCAGGCTCTAGTATTTTATTGTCGGACAACTACTATTGCTTTTCAAAACAGCAAAACCAGGGTCACAACATAAATGGCACAGGCTTTGGTAGCAGGCATGAAATCAACCCACTGCTCACCCACTGGAAACCACACTGACCTACCTGTTTTCCTGTTTCAAAGCTATTCCCACACATTCCTTGCTCTGCATTGACAGCCTTCAGTTGCACTATGGGCAGTACCCAACGTTTGGCCGTATGTCAGCCACAAGCAAAAGACCATGTGACATTGTAGGGAAACAAAAGTATATCCAGGTCTTTCTGCTGGCAGCTAAACTTCAAGGCATGGATGAGAACACCTCCCACAACCTGCTAATTCAAACAGATCTCTTCTTTCAAGGACTATCATCCAAACTGAGGCCCAGTTTTAGCACATGAGAATAATCAAGGAAGGAATGGGAAAGCCACAGAAGTGAAGAAATAATATTTCAGGCTATGTCAACTGTAGTAGGTACACAAGAAGCATTATCTAACTTTCAAAAAGCACACAGGAGGATCACACAGGACTTTATGCCAAATGTGTGGTTCTCTAAACAATATCCTTGGAAATCAAGGAAGGAAAAGTGCACAGGACCATAATTATGAGGCCCTATAAAAACTAGCATTTATATCTACCTTTTAGGCAGTTCCAAATACACCACAGCCAACTGTTCCCCCTGCCCTGTCTCTGTGCAGACAGAATGCTTCAGTGGGCTCAAACATCATGCAACAAGGAAGCTCCCTCTGCAGACAGACACCACTGACAGATGTGTTCCCCACACTACTTCTCCTTATGGAGAACAAGAATCCCAACACAGCTCCATGCACAGGACCTCCTTTGCTCGTCACACTCATTTTGAGAGTTGTAAAATGCTCTCAAGGGCATAAGTGACGTGCAGTGCACTTAAAGACAGCTTAAAGATACAATAATTCTTCCTCAGCACTCAGTCAGTTTGGAAGATATGTGACTGCAACTGTCAGAGCCACATTTACATGTGTCCAAGAACTACCATTCACAGGAGGAGTTGTACCAGACCAGACAGTGGATAACATGAATGATTTCCTTGCACATACTTCAAATAACAAGCCCCCAAACCAGAATTTCCTAACAAAGCTACCATCTCATCCCCTGCGTTCCCACCAATTTCAACACCAACAAAACATCAGCTGTTACTTCATATGAGCAAGATCCCTTGATAACATCTGAAGGTTCATCGAGGCTGGGGAAAGCTTAGTACAACTAAGATGAGACTCTACATCACAGCCTTACAAGGACATATAGCCAGAGAAAGGACAGTTCTTGCTCATCCAAGTTTCTGACATTTACCCTCTCTTTTAGGGACAAATGACCCCAGAGGCAATATGTATAGGTGTGTGCTATGATTAAAGCCTTTGATATTTTGACTGGACAAACCCCCAACATTTACTATTCCGCCTCTGATTCACAAATCCACAGTGTCTATGTCATTGATGAAGATCTGTTGTTTCAAATCAGAAATACTACTGGTCACAATATGGAGCACTGAGAGACACCACACGTTGCTGGTTTCCACTTAGACACTGGGCCTATATGACATTGAGGTGACCATACACCCAGTTCCTCACCCATCTTACAGTCAAACCTTATCTCTTCAATTCAGCAGCCACCATTTTAGGGGGGGAGTGTGTGTGAGACATCCTGCACACCTTCTCCCACTGGCCTCTGCTCTGCTCAGGCAAACCTTGGCTGGGCTGGGTGTCCCCTCTGCACTTTGAGGACTGCATTATAAGAGATGGGTTTGCATTATTATGCTAAAGACAACTGTGCCTGGGGGAGCACACATATGCCTACGAAAGCCTTACAGCTGTAAACATCACAGGTGTGTACAAGAAGGGCACCTGCCCTTGGACAATTGGAAGAGATGAGCTCATGACAAGCAAGGCAACAGTTAAATATACTGAGAGTTAGAAATTAACAGATCAGGTGCAAAAATATTTCATAGGCCACACTTATTGAGCAGAATCAACTAAATTGGATGGTATTCCATCAGGCAAACACTCTTCTTAGCTATGACAGGTGATAAGATTACCACCTGTTCTTTGATAGTTCCCCCCACAAAGCTTCCATGTGTTCTCTCCATTGCTACACAGCTGTTAGATTCGCTTCTGATTTGTTCATAATTGGCAGAATTTGTCAGGAGTGAACAAAGCTCTATGATTGAAGAAAGAAGGGAGCTACAGTTGCCTGCTCACCAGCATTCTCATCAGAAACTGAAGGATTCTAAAGCACACAAAGTGCAAAAGGCCAAAATAAAAGAGAAATGGTAATCTAAAAGAGAATGGCTCATCAAACTAATGGCTTTGGTCGAATCTCCTCCCCTCTTTTATCACATGCACGGTTCCACAGAGATGTGACTTCTACTAAGGTCACATTTACATCTATTCCTCCAGACAACAGCGGACCACAAGGATACTCTCCCACCTCCTGCCTTTCACACCTGCTGTAGCATGGAAAGGGGCACTAAAACACCACATGTTCTTAAAGGAAGCAATACTGATAATTACAAGAAAACCTACATGTGTAGGAAATGAAGAAGTGAAAAACCAGACCATAAATCAGATTAGCAAGGCAAGGAAGCACTAGAAGACAAAGAGATATTGGAGAAACTCACTGGGAAACCTTCTTGGTCTTCACTGCAGCATCAGAAACTCACTACTGAGAGCAGCTGGAAGGGATTCCTTTCAAAACCTGTGTGTGAGACCTTCAAGTCATACTCTGGACTATGTGGTAGGGATTTTATTTTAAGAAGTATTTACCACATCTCAGCAACTCTAGCCTGCTAACCTCCCACAAGTACGAAGCTGCAAGTGTAAACAGCTCAGTCTTTTGAGAAATTACAGTACAATAGATTGACTTTTTGCTTCTGCTTCATTTTCCTCACACAAGGAATTTATCTTAGGTACTTGAGGTATTTGCTACAAAAAAATACTCACAATTTCAAAGGCAAAAGAACTGTTCTGGAACGGGGAAAATGGCCTTCCAGGAAACAGAGGGCTGAAAGAAAGTGTAATTACAACTACAAAGAAACTCCGCAGTGCTGTATGACAGGGAGATATGGATGGGTAATGGAGATTTCAAACAGGATCAAGGTGTTCATGCTTCATCATTCTACATGGAAATGTGCAAACTCACAGGCAAAAAGAAAATCACATTGTATTATATTGCAGATGGGCATCAAACAAGGAAAGGAGTAAATTGTATCTCCCGTGTCCCTTGTATCACAAACAGGACCAGAACTCTCCTCTCCAACCCTTCACAACTTGCACGGTGTTCTCTAACCCTTGCAGCTGTTCTTTCTCAGTCCAAACAAAATTTTTTACCCTGCCAAAACCTCACACAACAGTGAAGCTACCTTTGCAGACAAAGAACATGGAAGGAAAGTTGCACACGCTTCTCCTTCTCTGGGAACAAGCACCACAACATGGATACACGTAAAGACAATCCTCTACTCACCAAAGTACCCGAGGAAATGTAAAATCTTCTCAAGTATATATGCCATAACAAAGACACCATCATTCTATTTTAGCACATGGGCATGTGTTCACATACATGACTCACAAGTATAAACTTTAAATGCACACCTGTGCTCAATAACTGCCATTCAAAGAAAATGTCATGCAATGGGAAAACAAATTGATGAACCTGCAACTTGGCCATTTGGATTGTGAACACTATGATACATTTTAAAAAATGAAATACACATATCCTGTTTCTAGGAGGTACCTCCTCACACACAGCACACCCCCAAGTCTCTCCTCAAAACTTTCACATGTTATTCCCATTCATCACCAGATACAAAAGCCCACAGTTAGATCCCCACAAACTGCAAAGCAAGAAGTTAAAACCTGCAGAAAGGAAGGGATCATAATGTACTCTTCTACATTATGGCACTCTGATAAAGTACATAATTCAGGTCTTTAATAGGTGGTGAATACAAAAAGGCCAGTATGGCCTAAGTTGTAAATATATAATTAAGCTGTAAGGCAAGTATTAATGATGATTTGCAAACACAAAGGAAGAATATCCATGGCTCCCATTATAACTAAAACAGCAAGTCTTATAATCAAAATTCTTTCAAAAGATGAAACTCACACTGCACGGTGATAGAGATGAATCAAAACATCTATTATACTCTTCTACAGCCCCTCATGCACAGCTCCCAATTCCAACCCTTCATAAATTACATGATAGTTTTGACCCTCATAATTTGCAAGTACATGATATAAAAGCACCAGCTCCCAAACTGTTTCTCTTCAACATGCAGCACCACCACCCCACAGACTTCACATACATTGCTGTAGGAAGAAGGAAGATACATTTTTCTGCTCACCAGTGTTATGTGAATAAACCTCAAAGTTTCCAAAGGGAAAGAGAAGCTGTCTTGCAGGAAAGACCGGGTCAGTGAACATCTGCATACAGGCAATCACCCCCTTCTTATATCACCCTCCGTACCTTGAATCTCTTCCCTCTCTCCCTTGTAATGCTTTGCCCATAGTATGTATTTTCAAGACTAGGAACGTTCAGATCCTTTTCCAGTATGACAATGTTAAAATAAGGCGAATCAGCACAACAGATCTCTGAAACAGTTTCTTACCCTTCACGAGCAGCAACCCACAATGCTTCTAAAACAGTTACAATACTCAAGATTATCTTCAAAACAGCCAGAAAGGCATCATCAAAGCTGTTGACCAGCCCATTCCTCTACTAGGGACAACAAGAATCAGAGCATGGACCAATGTAAAGGCATTTTCTTTCTCACTCATTATCATAGAGACTCGAAAAGAGATGAGAAGAAGAGAAACGATGAGAAACGAAGTTGAACAAGGCACCCTTAACCTTCTGTTTCAAGAGAATCTCACCCAACCCTAGAAGGTGTGGGAAGACACCTGACTCTGCTAATAAAGAAAACTTCTATTTGCTAATTAAGCAAGAATTCTGTTGCTATAAAAAGGGCTAATACCGAAATAACATAAGACGAGATAAGAAAAATAAAGCAACAGAAGATCTAATAACGACAAGAACACTGATACTGGAAACTTCAGGGGACAGGGACAGAAATTACGTGCAGCGAGAAAACAAGTCCCCGACAGAGCAAAGCCCTAGCCACCTGAAACCTCATTTCTCCTATCCCCTCACCAATTTTAGGGCAGAGCACCGACTCCAAATGCACCACCCCGCACCAAGAGGCTGTTCCAACCTCCACTGAACGAAGGTTTGCCTTTCCTATTAGAAAACATCACTGCACAAGACAGATCACAGGGTATAAGGGGCAGGAGAGTGGCAGAGGAAAACGTCGCGGTCGCACCCAGATAAGAGAAACTCACCGAAGGAGCGGCAGGGTCGGCGGGGCGGTCACTGGCAGGTTCCTCCTCTCCGAGCAGCGGTGCAGGCTCGTCGGGCGGCGGGCGGGCCGGGAGGGTGTCGCAGCAGCTGGCGGCCGAGAAGCGCAGGTGGCTCTTGCGCGAGTCGGCCGTGAGAGACACGTCGTGCGAGTAGGAGTGCAGGAAGGCGCGGACGCCGTCGATGCCCACGAAGTGCGTGGCAGG